ACCCAGCTCCACATCCCATTTTTTCCAGCTGATTGCCTTCCAGTGTATAAAATGAAGGAAAACAATGGGAGCTCATCCATCAGATGCTGCCAGAGCCTGCCCTCTGTCCCTGCCCTGCCTGAGGCGTTTTTTTCCTCACTAAATTCAATAAGGGAGGATCAGGAGCTTCTCCCCCAGAGGAGCACTGGGCTGGTGGCCCCCCCCGTGCTGGTCCCTCTGCTTGTTGCCAGAGATGGTCTCAGCTCTGCCTTTGTCCCTTGGTGTCACCACAGAGGGGAGGTCACAGGAGTGGGTCCCATGGGATGGCTGTTGGGGACAGAGCAGGGATGGAGCTGCCCAAATCCTCTGCTCAACCCCCGCTCACCTCCTCCCCCAGCCCCTCTTTTGGGCAAAGCCCCCCAAAGCTGTGACCAGCACCATCCTCACGGGTGACAGAGTCAAACCTCCTGGGGTGAAGCAGCCAAAAGGCCCTTGTTTAACCCCAGAAGGGCACCCACAGCCTCATCCCACCACACCAGGGTTTCCTGTGTTACTGGAGGCTGCACCCCAGCTCCATCCAACCTTGGGAAAGCCTTTCCAGTGGGCTTTCCCTATTCCAGTGGGATCGGGGGGGTATTCCCTGCTGAATGCCCAGGAAAACAATATAAAGAAATAAATATTGGAAAATATTTTAAAAGCAGCCCATGCACAAGGGGAGACTTGGCTGTGGGGCAGCCCTGAGCCCCCCTTGTAGGACCTCAGCAGGAGGATATTTCCACTGGGCTGTTGAAAAAGTTCTTTATGTCCCTAGAGAGCATCTAAAGGCACAGGGTGGCTTTTCCAACAGCCACATCTGATGGTCCAGGAGCAAAACCAGTGGCTGTGATGGAGCCTGTTTGATTCTAAGAATGAAATACTGATGGATTCAGGCTTGGAACGGGAAAGTTCTCCACGATGCAACATTGGGGAAGGCAGGGGCAGAAGAGAGGGAGCTCTGAGCCGAGTGTTAAATGAAAACTCCCCATTTTCAGAGAGGGTACTCCTGCCTAAGGAGGTTTGGGACAGTGAAAGAGCAGCATGAGGAGCAGAAGAGGCAACACACACCCCTGGTTGCTCATAAACACCAAGTCAGAGGTTTGCCCTTCCCCCCAGCATGATGGATGGCCAGGAATCTCCAATGGATGGAGCTGGAAAAGACAAAGCCTCCCCCGGGTGCCCATGGCTCACTCCGGACTCATTAATGGAGCAGCTCATCAGGATCCACACATAATTACAGAGTGTTACAAATTCAATTGCTGCCCGAGGAGAGCAGGACTCTCCTGGGCATTTTGAAACTCTGGGAGGTACCCGAGGAACACATAGGGCAGGATCCAAGTTCCTGCCTGGCTCACAGGTGGTGCTTGGAGTGGGAAGGATGATCCCAGTGCCTGCCTCAGCCTTACAAAATACCCACCACTGCCAGGGCAGCTTTCCTCCAAAAATCCAGCCATGGATTCCTCTGGGCTGGGTGTGGAGGAGGAGGGTGGAACAGGAGCAATGCAGGAAGAGGGAGCAGAGGGAAGAGCAGATGCCTCATCCCTGCCCCATCCCTCCCTCATCCCTCAATTCCCCCGTGCTCCCCGACCCTACCACACCTGGGAGCACCTCAGCACCCCCAGGGACGCTGAGGGGCCGTTCCCTAAAGCCCATGGGAGTTTGTCAGGGAAGTTGCAGTTCTCAGCAGTGCCTTTGCCCTAGGGAGAGCAGGATCCAGGGATACAGGAGAGACAACCTGGAGGCACTTCCAGAGCAACAGAACGTAATGCTGCTAAATAATAATGCTGATAAATTCCCTTAGAAATGGTCATTGCACAATAAAAACCCATTAAAACCACCCCTCCAGCCCCTTCTCTGCTGTACCAGGTAGGACAGTGGGAGTTACCTCGGACTACCTAGTGACAGCAGAGGATAAGAAATGAGGAGGGAAAAAAATCTGACTCTGGGGGCTGGAGCCTTAAATGATGGATATTTTCCATCATTTCCATCATTTAATGGCACAGGGTTTGAGGACTGTGTGTTATGGACCAGCCATGCCCTGCTCCAAAGCATCTCTGCTGCCTTCTCCCATGAAAAAATCCACCTCACTGGCAAATAATCAACACACAGGAGAGGAGAGGGAAAGAAAGATTAAATCAAGCATAAAATAAGCAGGAAATAAAAGCAAACCACAAGAGAAATCCAACATTCTCTAAAAATCTGAAGTTTATTCATTAGAATTCAGTGAAAGGAACATTCATTTTAAAACACAATCAATACATTAAAAACTTGAAAGGACTAGTAGCAATGAGACCAGAAAGAAAACAAAAACAACCCCGAAATTCAGACAGGTTGGTCGCCTGGGAGGAGCCACCAACCCAGCAGTGGGATGGGGCAGCCAAGGACAAGGGTCAATTCCTTTTTTTTCTTTAGAGCAGAGAGGCTTTTCTAAGATTTGAATTTTTCACTTCACCCAAGGGGAGCTTTAGTGTGACTCAATAGGGATGAGAACAGCAGGTGGCCCCAGCTGGAGAGGAGGGAGCCCAAAATTCCAGGGCAGAGGGAATGTGGAAGGCGGTCTGAGCCCTGGGAATGTTTGCTGAGCAACCTCCCCATCCATCCCCGTGCTGGGAATGGGGCAAACCCGATGAACAAAAACTTTTAAAAAGCCAAATCAGCAGCAATTGCCATCTCTGCTGGGGGAAAAAAAATCTGCTTTTGGCTGGGCTTTAGCTTTCCAAAAGCTCTCCTCTCTTCTGATCCCAAAAGTATCACTGCAGGAAGGTGCTTTAGTGATGTTGGCAATGCAGGTGGCACTGGGCTGGAGCTCCCAGCCAGGAGAAAGGAGGAGAAGGTGGCCAGCCCTGCTAATCCAGGATTATTTAAGGAACAATCCATAGGCCTGGAGAAGGTGTTGCTGCCTGCATGAGGGTGAAATTCCAGCTCCCAGCCCAACCAGGAAGCACCAAAGGGAGACAGAATCTGTTCAAGAGCATTGCCAAGCACCAACCAACGGCATCTCCTGCCGGGGGATTTAAAAAAAGCCCCAAATTTGGATAAAATAATGTAAGGAGACAGCAGGGAAAGCCCCAACTGACACCTGTGGGCTTCTACTTTGGAGATGGTCAACAGCACCTGGAGGGAGAAATCACCAAAATCCACAAATTCAGGTTAAAAACAACACTTAAAAGAAATGAAACAACAGTTGGACGAGTGTGACAGAGCAGGATTAGAGACGTCTCAGCGGGGTGTGCAAAGTGTGTGTGTGCTGCAAGGGGCCGGAGTTATTCCAGCTGGGAAGTGGCCCAGCACATTCCTGGAGGAGCACAGGAGGGTTCCTGGCGTGGCACGGGCACAGCAGCAGCAGGAATTGCCTTTTCTCCACGGGAAGGGCAAACCACACCACTTGGAACGACAACACACACGAGTAAAAGAACAGTCTGTAAAATTTTCCCCATGATTATAAAATGCAAAACTATACAAAAATAGAGAAAAATCGACCTTTTTTCTTAGGTGTATAAAAACAAACAAACCAAATAAAACCCCAAAGTCCCCAAAATGCAATACAGAATCACTTGGTAGGCTGACCCCAATGGCAGTGGTTTCATCACGAGTTCACAGCCCCAATTTATCACTTTAGGCACAGCCCTAATTTATCACTTTTCCCTGGAAGGGACAAATTCCTCAAGTTTTTCCTTAATATCTTGGCAAGACAATCTGCTATTCCTGACTTTTAAGACTGATTTGTGGTTAGGAAGCCCTGTTGCATAAAAAGCCTCAATGAGCACTCCCAAATTTGAGCTCCTCAGGTAAGGCAGTGTTGGACTGATCCAGATCCAGCCCAGATTTTTTCCTATGTATCCCAGGGTGTTTTGGGAAGAGGCAGTGAAATCCAATACTTACTGCAGTGATCATTTACAGGCTGAGTTACTGCACTGAAAATCCTTATTTCTTTGGGTTAATGGGGCAGAATCCACCGCTAATCCAGCAAATTAATGTTTAGAAAACTCATTGTAATTCAACAGATATTTGCTTCATGTAATTCCCATTGAATTAAGAGGAGAAACCTTTGGTATAAAGTCAGATTATCAAGCCTTGGCTGTATTGCTCCCCCTAAACCTCCCCAGCACGTACCTACAACTGAAAACATTATTCCTAGTCGGCAACAGAACATTCATTGTAGCACCGAGACACTTCCAACCCCCAGCAGGACTTTGGCAAAGGCTGCACCACGGCTGAACAAAAGCTACAAGCCCCAGAACCCACGAGATGCCTTTGGTGAGACACTAAAACAAAGGAAAACAGGAGTTAAACCCAGTAAAGGGCCGTGCGGGTGTGTGGCAACGTCCGCCATGCTCCCGTGGTTTGTGGTCTGTGGGTGGTGGTGAGATGGGCAGAGCTGAGACCTGGCCCTGACCTGGCTCCCAGCAAGGGGAGCCTGCTCCAGTGAGGAATATTCCAATATTCCAACATTCCAATATTCATTAGCAGCTGTTCACATGCAGCACTAACGAGGGGAGACACAACCTTGGAGCGAGGGGACCTTCCACTGGCTGACCATATTCTCCTCTTCAGGAGCGGCACCAAGAGCCGGGTTTCTCCCAGGAAATCCTCTCTGGTGTCACAGAGGGATGGGAGAAAAGACCCATGGCATGATGGGCTCCTGCAGGAACTCCCTGCTGCAGGAAAAATTAAGGTTTAAGCCCATGGATGCACAGATAGGTCTGCGCCGCCTCAGCGGTCTCGGAAGGGAAATAAAATCACACCCAGCCCGGCTTTGCTTTTCCCTGCTCCTTCCCAGATATTCAAGGACAAGGCAGAAGGAATCTCTTCTCAAAAAGAAATATGATTTTGCTCTGGGGGGAAAAAAATACCAAACCGAAAGCAGCTCCTTGTGCTGGAAAACACAGTGATGCCAAAGAGCTGCTGCTGAAGATCCCGGAGCCACATTCATGTGGAGGTGAGAGCAGCAGGAGGGGGACCCAGAACAGCAGGAAATGGGAATTTGGGCTGGGCAGAGCCTTCCCTCGCTCCACAAATGGGGAAAAACTCTGGTATTTCCAGTTTGGGATTTTTTTTTTAATGCTACAGATTCTGCTGGAAAGAAAAGCAGAAAAGGGGCAACAAAGGGTGGGGGAACAAAAACCATCAGTGGAAAGAGAATTAAAATCAGAACACAGAGCTTGGGAAGGAGGAGGAGGAGGCAGCTTTGTGTCATGGAAAGGGACGTCTGGATCAAAGACAAGGCTGTTTGGGATCATGAGGACAGGGGAGAAGCCCCAAGGACCAACGGTCTGAAACAGATGTCACAGGAGCTCATTATGATCCCCCAGGTCTGACCCCTCAGCTTGTGCCCCTCCTCCATGTTTCTTCAAAGAGGAGGAGAAAAATCCCAAACCTGCAGCAACCTCCAGCTTTTTGTTCCCTCCAGCCAGGGGAAGAGGCCATGAAGCCCAATTTAGGCATTCCAACGAACACGGAACTTCCCTCCTGGGAGTTTATGCAAAGAAAACAACCATAAAATAACAAAATTAAATTAAAAAGCCACAAAACTTCCTTTTGAGAAAGTAACAGCATCTGCCACTTCACAGCTACAGGCATGATGCAAATTTAGCTTATTTCAAAGACCTCATCCATGTGCCCACGGTCCTGGAGAGACGAGGAGCTGGGACAAAGCACAGGAAAGGTTTCCACCAGGAATTACGCACTGGGAAGACAGACCACAACAAAGAAGGGACTGACACTTTGTTCTTGAAAGGGACACCACGAACAGCACATCTTTCCAGGCAAATTGAAATTGGACCTGGAGAGCACGCACACAAAAGCTCCTGCTTTCCTTTGGGGCAAGGAAAAAAAGTAATAAATAAAAATGTTGCTGCAAAGTTCCCCTTCCAGCGGACTCACCCCCTGGGAACAACCAGCATCCTTCCCCCCAGCTCCACAATCAACACCAAGATGGAAGACATTCAAAGTGAATCTGAACCAAAACATTTCACCAAGAAGGGTAAAAGAAACCCCATTTCTCTCAGAAGTGTCCCCAAGGCTTGTTCCCCCATCTCCAATCCTGCCCAGACCCCAAACCTGCCACTCTGGCAACAGGTCCATTCCCAGCTTCTGTCCGGGCAGCAGTGCCAGAGGCTGCTGCTGCTGCACTTGGCATCGGAAAGGGCTGGAAAACCAGAAAGTGCCTCAGTGTTGACACAGGAACCCCGAGGCAGCTCCGATCCCCGCCAGAGCACCCGCAGGGCGAGGCCCAGCTCCCATTAGTCACCCCCACCCCGCTCGCTCACAGCCTTGCCCTCCCTGCCCTGCACCACTTCCCCCCTGCCTGGGGCAGCCCCTCGGTGACCGGTGACATTCCCGCAGCTACTCTGCATCGGTGACATCGAGGGCGGTGCCACGGCAGTGCCCGGGGGTGCCCCTGCCCTTCAGAGGCTCCGCGCAGCGCTCTGGGCTCTCTGCAGGGCCGGCGTTCCCGCCGGGATGCTGCGGCACGCCCTGGGCGATGCCCACGGGCTTGCCCTTGGAGCGCTTCTCCGGGGAGCAGGCAAAACCAAAGCTCGGGGGCAGCTCCGCTTCTCCCAGGGGTACCAGGCGGGACAGCCTGGGGACCTCTCCGTGGTACCTGTAGGACCCCGCTGCCTCCCGCGCCCGCCGCGCCTCGGGCTGCAGGGGCAGGTTGGAGGGGCGCAGCGCATGCCGGGGCAGCTCTGGCTCTTGGGGGCGCCTGTCCGGAGCCTCCCCAGTGAGAGGCGGGAAAGGGGACACGGTGCCCGGCTCCTCGGACGGCTCCCACACGCTCTCCATGGCGCCGGCCGGAGCGAAGCCCCAGAGCTCCATCCCGCTGCCGTCGCTGCCGCGCTGCAGGTGCTGCAGGCCTGGCCAGCTCAGCCCGCCCTCCAGGGCCGCCGGCTCGCCCTCCTCCTTGCTCCTGCTCCTCCGCGCTCCGCCCGAGTCCTTCCTGCCGCTCTCCTGCCGGGCCCAGAGCCGGCAGGGCTGCGGGCCGCTCCAGGCAGCCTGTGGCTCGGCCAGCTCGAACTCCAGGCTCTCCGTGTCCAGGGAGCGGCTCCGCCGGTCCACGGAGAGCGGCGCCGGCATGGAGGGGCTGAGCCCGTGGAGGCGCAGGTGGCGGGGCAGGCTGGCCACCCCCCAGTTGCAGCTCTGGAAGGAGCCCAGGGAGAACCCCGGGGACATTCTCTCGTCACATTCAGCCAACGACTCTTTCTGTCCGTAGCCGTCATCAAAGGCCTCGGCAATGTCCTCGCTCAGCTCTGGGTGCTGCTCACACTCCCCTTCCCCCTCCTGCTCCACGTCCACCACGTCGAAGGTTACCATGGTGGGGAGGGCGGGGAGGTTCTGGGTGAAAGACGAGCTGGAGGCCGAGCTCCCCAGGCTTTCAGAGAGGCTGGAGAAGAGGGTCCCGCTGCTGGCAAACTCCACCAGAGCCTGGGAGAAGCTCACGGTGTGCTCAGGCTCGCTGCCCACCTGGGGCTCACCGGGAGTGGGCTCTGCTCCGTAGCCAGGGAACATCCCTGCCTTGGCTGGGATGGAGTCCCCAAACAACCCACAATCCGGGTCCAAATCGAACCCCGGGGTGTTCTTTGTGAGCTGAATAAGGCAACTTCCTGGGGCTTTTTGGCTGTTGTAACAGTTTTCTGGACACAGAGTCCCTGGAAAATCCCTCCACTCTGGATTTTCAGCTCTAGCCACCGGAACCCCACCATTCACAGCCCAGTTCGGGGTGCGCGAGGCCACCTGCTCACCGCCAAGGCCACTCTGACTCTTGCCACTGGAGCTGGCTGCTCTAGTTTTACATTCAATGCACTGCTTTTCCCGGGGACACTCCTCCTTGCTGGAAACATCCAGGCGTTTCAGGACCGGCTCCCTCTGCAGCTCCCAGTACAGCAGCTCCTTCTGAATGGCTGCAAGACCTTCCTCTTCTGTTTCCATCACCCCTCTTTTCTGATCGATCATCTGCTGGATCAGGCTCTTCTCCGCAGGGAGGCAGAAGTCCATGAAGTAGCTGAAAATGCCCGGGCGGGGGCCTTTGCCCTCAAACAGTGATTCCTCCCCATGAGAGGGGCTCATCAGCGTGTCAAACTCATAAAGTGCATCGCCGCTGTAGCTGTCCCGGGGCAGACGGTCCTTCTTGAGCTCCTCTCCGGCCTCATCCTCAGGCCCTGGCGTGGTGGAGTCATAATAACCCTCGTCACTGTTTGGGGCAGACTCTTGCTGGTCGCTCTGGGGTGTCAGGAGGTCGACACCATCCATGGGGTCGCCGATGTAGGGGTGGGCATCCCCCTCGTGCGAGGCGTGTGTCTCCAGGCTGCTGCGGGACACCTGGGCCCCGTAGCTCCTGTCCCCTGGCATGCTGCCATCCCACACTTGGTGCAGGTACTCCTCGGCCTCCTCAGGAATGGCCATCTCCTCCCCGCCACCCTGGTAGGTGACCAGGCAGGAGCTGCGCTTGGCGGCCTCCCTGCTGCGCTCCACCGAGATGCTGCTCTCGGCGATGTCGGGCTCGGCAATGTCGTCCCCGCAGCCTGTCAGGGAGTCGAAGCTCTTCAGGGAGGTGACGTCTCCCAGGATGAGGCTCAGCAGGTCCCCAGAGTGCAGGCAGGGAGGCTCGCTGTCCATGAGGTCCGAGTGGAAGGCCAGCAGCAGACTGTCACGGTCAAACTCAGCGCAGGTGGCAGCGTCAGCCTCCGATTTTGTATCTGGAGCGTCCCTATCTCCTGGCACCGCCACCACTGCATCGCCCTGGGAGCTGCCCCCTTCAGCCACAGGGCAGGAGGGCTCAGGGGACTCCCCACAGGCGGGCTCACCCCCCGGGCATGCTGTGGGCACAGGGACTGGCCCTGCCCCCCTGCTCTCTGCAGCCCCCCGGCTCTCCACTGCCACCCCTGGGGCACTGCTGGGCTCCTCGGGGTCCCCGTTCCACTCGGGGAGCTCTGCCCTCTCCCCCTCTGCAGCCTTGTTCTTCCGGTGCCGCCGGATGCTGTTAAAAAACCCCTTCAGGCCTTTTTTGGGCCTGGGAAAGGAGGACTTGTCCCCGTTGGGCTTTTTGTCACAGCCCTCGATGCTCCCAGGGGGAGAGTTGTCCTGCTGGCCCAAGTCCCTCCTGGCTCCAGTGTCCCTGGGCAGCTGAGCGCTGCGAGAGCACGGCAGGGGGCCAGGATGCACATCCAAGGGGCTGTCGGGCTGGGCCCTGTTGGACGTGGCGCTGCTCAGCCCGTCATGGGTCTTGCACTTGCTGAGCCCCTTCTTGCCCTGGCCCTTGCCCCGGCCCCCGAAGAAGCTGGGCAGGGTGCAGATGCTCCTCTTGCCCCCAAACAGCTTGAAGGCCGTTTTCCGCAGCTTCCAGGGTGGCGGAGGCTGCGGCTCCCCGGAGTTATTGGCACCCTCGGGAGATGCATCCCCGCCCTCCTCCTCCCGCTGCTGGTCACCACAGGCCCGCTCCTCCAGGCTGCCCGTCTCCATGGCAGCAGGGTTGGGATCTAGCTGGGAAGGGCAGCTTCGGGAGCGGAGCCCTCCTGGAGCGGGGATGGGCTCATCACAGCTGACCTAGGACAGAGGGAAAGGGGACAGCAGTGAGGGGAAGGTGCAGAGCCAGAGGTGTCACAGGGAGAAGGGCTCCATCACCAGCTGGAAATGGAGCTGCAGGAGCCTCTGAGCTACCTCCACTCCCAGAATCCAGCCACCAAAATGCAGTGATGCTTAAATTTACCAGTTTGCCAGGGCAGGCAAATCACAAGGCAAGTCTCTACCGGGCAACATCCCTGGGGACAGGCAGGTCCGACCCCCAAGCCAGCTCGCTCCAACCCCTTCAGCTTCCCAGATATTTTTGCCTCCAGGGAGATCAGATTCAGCCACTAGCCACCTCTGAGTGAGGAAACAGAGGCTGCTCCAGCAGGGAGAAGGGCTGGCACCTGCCAACCCCCACTTCCCACCCTCCCACACCCCGTGCCAACCATCCTGAGGGAGGCCAAACCAGGACACAGCCCTCACACTACACACGTGTCCAGGAAAAAAACCCACTTGGGTTACTATGCTGGCTTTTTTTAATAGAAGATTTCAGTTGTTTTTAAAATAATCTGTCCAGCGAGGGAGAATCGCATTAAAAACACCCACTGTGAACCCCCTGATCAGATTATCCCAGAAGAAGAGAGGCAGGTTGGAAATCTGACCCTGGATCGCTGTCAGAATTGGGAGAAATAAAACAATTACAATCATGTTTCTTTTGCAGAGATGAGGGTGGAGAAATTAAATGCAATAAAACCCTAATGCACTGCCAAGCTGTAATGCCTGAGGCTGAGCTCTGACCAGTGTGAGGCCAGGGAAGCTCCTCGTGGTGTTTAGGCAGAGATCCCAAATTAAAAATACATCTAAAAGGCCTCTGCTCCTGAAACCCCACAGAAAACCTGCCATCTCAGGGTTATTTTTTTTCTCTCAGGTCTGGGTTGCTTTGCCTCTACAATTTGACATCACTGCCCACCGTAGGGGTTGGAACTGGATGGGCTTTAAGGTGCCTCCCAGCCCAAACCATTCCAAGACTCTGGAATTCTGGGATTGGTGGTAACCCCTCACATTCACCTGTCCCTCTGGAACCAGCAGCTAGGGTGCACCTGAGGCCGCCTTCCCATCGGCAAAATGGGCTTTTCCAGCTCTGCCAGAGCCTTCCCAGAGTCCCACATGCCTCCAAAGCCTCTGGAGCATCACAGGGCCTGGAAGGGACCCCCACACCTGGTACCTGTGCAGGGCTGCTGGAAAACTGGGGGATGGAATGACCCCACACCTGTACCTGGACAGGGGCTCCTTGAAAAAATAGCAATGGGGGGGATGAAAGAGAGCCAAGATTTCAAAAATTCCATTTGGGAATCATTTCTCCCCGGCTCCACGTCAGCACAGGCTGCAGACACGAGGGGGGAAAGGGGTGTTGGAGAAGAATAAAAAAATGAAACTAATAAAAATGAAAATAAAGAAAAATGAAAGGCACCGAGGGCAAAGAGCCCCGATTAATAAACCGCGAAAAACAGGGTTTAAAACCAACAACAAAAAAAAGCACCGCAACAATGAACCGCAGCGGTGGGGACCCCGCGGGACCCCCGGCCCGCCCAGCGCAGCCCCGCGGGGGGAGGCCCCCCCAGCCCCGCCCTCCCCGCTCCCCCCGCCGCGCTCCCAAACTTTCGGGAGGATCCAGGAGAACGCGAGGGGCGGTCGGGCCCGGCCGCGGGGAAGAGGCACCGCGGGCGCGGGCACGGGCGGCGCCGGGCCCGCCGGCAGACCCTCCCCATCCTCCCGCAGCACTTACCGGCGGGGGGTGCGTGGACCCCCCCCGGGACCCCCGGGACGCTCTCGGGACCCGCCGGACCCCGGCCCAGCCCTCAGGCCGCTGAGGGGCCGCGGGTCCGCCCGGCGCGGGCGGCAGGGGCGGTGCCGCGTGACGACGAGGGCGGGGCCACGGGCGGGGCGGGGCGGCGGGCGGGGCGGGGCCTCCGCAGAGGGCGGGGGCGGGGCCTCTGCCGTTGGCTAGCAGTGACAAGGGGGCGTGGTCTCAGACGGGGCGGGGCCTCCGCAGTGAAATCACCGTGACAATGGGCGTGGTCTCGATGCAGGGGGCGTGGCTGCCGCAAACTCGTAGTTATGGGGCGTGGCCTCGGGGGCGTGGTCTGCACGGTGGGACATCAATTATGGGGCGTGACGTCACTCCCGGGTGGGTCTGGGTGGTGGCGGAGGCGTGGTCTCGGTGGC